TCCACAACTATAAAACCCCTTTCATTCATGCGACAACTGTCAGGGCCCGGCCTCGGACTCGGAGGCTCCCTGACCTCAACCCCCATCTAGCCTGTCCTCACACTATGTGGGGCATGAGATGTATAGTAAAAGGAAAGATAATATATACACTTGCCTATGCGGGGCATGAGATGAGAAGAAGGGTAAAGGTCTCATCCCCCCGCATGGTTGCTAGATAAAGGAATGGGTCACATGCCCACAACTATACAGCTCCTAGAGTTGTGTAGTGTGACCCGGAGGGAACATCCAGGTGGCAGTGCCCAGTAAGCATGGGAACGTTCTGGGCGAGTTGCTCGCCGCTGTGACCCGTGGGAACATTGTGGGCAAGCTGCTCGCTCAGAAAGTTCCCACGCTATCCCGTGCGCGCATGTACACAACACACAAAGGCAACAACAAGGCAACAGTCAAAGAATAAAAGGGGGTAAAGTAGGTGGGGAGTTGTCAGGGCACACCCGCCTGACCCGGCTCCACCCGGCCCAACCTGACCCGGTACCCCGCCAGTCCACCCTTCCTTACCCCCTCCCCCTTTCCCTTCTTCCCCCTCATCCTCCCCTCCTCAGTTTCTCCTTATCTTACTTCCCCTTTATTCTCTCTTTATTCTACATGGACGACTTTCTCTGTATCAATGTACAACTGACCCATCTGCAGCGCGCCCACCATGTACCCGGCCTGGGCACCTCGGGCGACTTCCCGCTGTGCCCAGCACGCGCGCCTGCACCGGATACCCTTGGGATCTCCCACGGAGACACCCGGGTGGTTACGGCTGTGTGCGAGGGTGACGTGGCATCCGTCATGTGATCCAAGCCGCATGTATATAAACGAACCTGAAGTGGGAACCGAAGAAGTAGCCTTCTTCTCAACTTTCCACTTCAGGTAAGTAGTACAATATTTCTCCTTTAATAATAATAACAACTTTCCACTTCAGTCTAAGTGGCCAGGGACTACTGTCCCACATCGGGCCTGTCAGTACGCACGCCCGATCCGCCCCCCGCCAGGCTCTCGGTCCCGGACGCTATACCCGGACCCCCTCGACCCCGGACGAGTCCCTGACAGGAGTCCGGGGCACCCTAAGGCAGGGTGCTGAACCCTGACAACAACTCGATACGAATTTGGTATCTAAAAATAGGGCTAATTCCTACAATCCCAACGATACCAAAAACATCGCAATTGGTGGAGATTTGACGGAGTTCCATGTTGGAGAAGTTAGGCATGGCAGGTCACGAGTATGTGCAGGCATGGGAATCTCAAGCGGCAACCCAGAATTCCAGCCTCACTTGTTCCCACAGCGTCTGATAAATCGGTAAAAATGCTCATTGGCTGCGTGAGAGTATTCTCCGGCTACATTTCCAATTTCGGCTCTTAATTCCGTAAATCCATTGAGATATCGCCTATTTTCTTATATTTTCATATTTTTGCATCATTTCAGTTATTGACCAATATCCTTTTATTGATACTGTTACCCTTTTTTTTATTATTTCGCCTAATAAGGTATGCAGGTGCCATATGGTACCAATATTTCCCATCAATTATTCTAAAAATAATTGTTCCTTATATCCTGTACATACCGGATTTTGGAAAAGAAGTTCTCCCCTCCCCCAAAATTCTCTAAGGTGCTAGGATGCGCTAGAGTGGGTGTGAGTGAGTGGAATCCAACAGTAGGAATAGGGGCAACTGTCTAGCCCACAACGAGTGGGTAGTAGATTAGTTGAGCCCAGACCTTGCGGAATCCCAGAGAACTCACCACGGAGTTAAGGATCGAGATAAGGAGTATAGTCAAGAAAGTAGGATTTTGGAGAGTTTGTCCCCCACGAGCTGTGTCGGCATAGAGAGCCACGAGCCCTCTTTCAGCGTTGAAGGATGCCTGGTCTGGTGGCGTCACCATCTGGGACACTGCTTTAGACAGTTCTAGGTAGAACTGTTTTAGGCCTTTTTCCGCTTCGTATTTAACGTTGCAGTACTTCTTTGTCGCATTCAACGTGGCAGAGGCTTTAATGAAGGTTCTCATCAATATGTTGAGAACTTCGAGGAACATGCCCTTGTCTCCTCTCAGGAGGGTTTCGTCTCGGAGTCTTATTCTGAGGTCAGACGTGGGTCCCCCTAATCCCCGAATCAAGCAGTCCAGATGGACTTCGTCGAATTGGGGGCCTTTGCATCCTCATGAGGCGAGGAATCCCAGTAGTTCTGTGAACCACTGCCAGAACGATTCCATGTCGTTCTCCCCTGACCATTTCTTGTCAGGAAAAGCCAGCCCATTTTTTAGGGCTTCAGGCTTCACTCCCTCTGGGTAGGGAGTGAGTATTCTCACTTTGGCCATTCTTATGGCCTTTTCGTACCATTTCTCTAGGTACTCCTCTTGCTCCCCTGCCTTCACGGGGTCGCTATCCAATGGAGATCTCTCCTTTGGGGGGGTTTTCGCTGGGGGGAATCTTCCTCGCAGTGTTTCTTTGGTTTCAGGCGAATTCGCCTGAAGTTGTATTTGGATTCTCTCATTGTTTTGAGAGAGTGTGGTTGAGTTACCTCTCTGTTTGAGAGGTCCGTCGAAGGTGGGCGTTTGGCCGAACCTTTGGTACGTGCCGATTCTCCTCCTAATTTCTGAATGATGCCTTCTTTCGGCATTGTCTTCTCCTATCCTTGGGAGAAGGATCTCCTTAGCATCTCTGTCGAGTCGCTGATGGTATTCCAGTGTGCTTTCACTGGTGGTTCTTTTCGTGAATTTTTCATGAGTTCTGTTTTTGTCCTGGCCCATGGCCCAGGGGTATTTTTTTTGTTTCCTCACTATTTTGTGAGAAGTTTATCTCCTTCAGCAAGTCCGTCTGCTTGCTGATTTTTTCAGTCAACGCATCGATTGCGTTGGCCATTCTTTCTAGAGTTATCTCTAGACAAGCCATACTATTGTGGTTCGTTTCCTCGATCTTTTTTTGGATCGAGTTTATTGCATTTATTATGCATGATTCCTGGTTTTCCAGGAGGAAGTTTGGTTGGGTGAGCAGTGACTCTCCCCAGTTGACATTGCCGCTTCTGGGGGTTCCAGAAGGGGTTCTTGGAGTGAACACTCCACGCTCGCTTTGTTTAGGCGAGGCCGTTGCGGAGGGTGCTTCCCTTTCATAGAGGGGTCTGTTTGCTGGTTTTTCCTTACTTTTCCATAAGGTTTCCTCAGTGAACTCCCTCATTTCGGTTTGCCTCCTCTTCATTATCTCGGAGACCTCCTCCGAGGTTGGCGACCTTGCCTTGTCTGGCATGGCGTGGGGTAGTGTAAACAGCGGAAGTTCTTTTGGAGCTTCTGCGCTCTGGGAGATCCTGCTCTCAGGGTGTTTTTTTGCACCTTCTCAGGCTTCCAGCCTGAGAAGAAGTTGGTCTTCGCTTTCCATCCTCCATTTGGATGGAACCTGGAACAAGTCCAGTAGTTTTTCGGATAGCCGACACGGAGGCTCTTCCCTTTGTCTGCCTTTGGGGCTTGACTTGGGGACATGGGGGAGGACTCCAGGGGATAGTGGGGCCCTGGAGTTTCCTGCAACTCTATCCAATCAGCTTTTTGGGCTGATTGTTCGGTGCTTACATGTTTATTGCGCAAGTCGATCACCTCCTGAGGAGGTGAGGGATCTTCCCCAGCTTGAGTTAGATCAGTATGTCGTGGAGTTCTAGGGGTATTGGGCCCTGCACTTACTCCACGTAAGTTTCTAAAACCTTCAGGGGCCAGCCCTGAGGTGGTTGCTTTTACCGGATCGTGTTGATCCTCGTCGTTGTCTGACAACAGCTGTTTATTTGAATCTCCCATGATGGGAGATTGCGGTTTCTTAATGAACCGCGAGTCTGGCTCAGTGCCCAAAACTATTCAACTGACCACCCAACCAAGAAGCCGGACCATAAGTGGCTGGGCCCCTTCAAGGTCGTCAAAGTCGTCTCCCTGGCTGCTGTCAAGCTCCAGCTCACCGCATGGCAGAAGGGAGTACACCCAGTCGTATCCATGATGAACATAAGACCCTACCGCCTGGATGAGATTGCAGAGCGACCCCCCGACCCCCACCTGGGCCCAGAACTCGTAGATGGAGAGGAGGAATATGAAGTGGAGAAAATACTGGACTCTAAGTGGTTAGGCCAGAAGCTCTGGTATTTAGTAAAGTTCGCTGGCTGGCCAAACTCAGAGAATGAATGGCTCCCTCGAGACCAACTAATCCACACCCCTGACCGGATCGAGGAGTTCCACCAAACACACCCCCATGCCCCAGGAAGGGAGAGAACGAACCCCCTGGCTGCTTTGAGGTGAAGCGGCTGAAGGAGGGGGTGATGTCAGGGCACACCCACCTGACCCGGCTCCACCTGCCCTCACCCTGTATCCTGCTTACCCTTATTCCTCACCCTTCATCACTGTTCCTCATTTCTTGTCCTTCCTTTTGTTCTTTTGTTCTTTGTTCTATCTTTATCCACATGGACGACCTTTCCCCATATCTATGTATTATTGACCCACCCACGATGCATGCACAACACACCTAGCCCAGGACGACCTGGATGGCCTCATGGTGCAACCCAGCACACACACATGCAGCACACACCCTCATGTGACCCAAGCCACATGTACATAAAAGTACCTGGGGTGGGAACCGAAGAAGTAACCTTCTTCTCACTATTCTCACTTCAGGTAAGTAGCATAGTTTCCCCTTTTAATAACAACTCACTATTCCCACTTCAGTCTGAGTGGGGGTATGGGCTAGGTCAGGGTGTATGCCCTGACATCCACACCCCACAAGGGCCTCAGTGCCGGACGTTACACCTGGGCCCCCTCAACCCCGGACATGTCCCTGACACAAGGGTTACCAAGGGGAAGGAGAAGTAAATAGAAAGAATCCACAGGACAAATATAGATTAGGCAAAAAGCCTGAGTTACGTCTGAAGTTTGTGGAGTGGGAGAATTAGAAACCAACTGAATGGTAAGGCCTGGGCCCATCTATGAATGAGCAGGGGAACTACAAGGGGAGACATCCAGAAGAGTCCAGAGCCCGGAAGTCATAGTCCGGAATATTGGTGTTGTAGGAAATATCAAATGATAAAACAATAAGGAATAACGTGACCAGAGGTAAGGTAGGAGTGGGGAGGTACCGGAGGTACACAACTGGAGGTGCCAGAGGTGTGGAGACCAGAAGTAAGAAGGAGGGTGGATAGACAACTTGAGGGTTACCAACAACAAGTAGGTGACCGAGGTCCATATCCTTTGAACAAGAGGTCTGAGGAGGTGGAGGTGTGGTAGGGGAGGCCCGGAGGTAGGAGGTCCAGAAAGAGGAGTGAGAGTTGAGGTATGTCCTGAGGTTCCTGACAGCTTGTCAGTACTCTAGTAACTTACCAGAACAATGTAGGAGTTCCAGAGGTGGTGCGGATGCAGATGGGAGGAAGGGCAGAAGAGAGTCGAAGGAGGAGGTAGTCCTAGGATCGTTGGCATCGACTGGAGGCAGCAGAGAGAGATTGGGAGGGCTGGTGGAGGTTATAGGAGTCGTCTAGGACCAGGGCAGAGGGAGGTGGAAGATCTGGGATATGACAGTTGTCAGATATGTACAAGAGGGGCTCTCTAAACTATCTAACTCGTTCCTTTCTTGCTATATATACAGAGGGAAACAGGTTATGTAAGCGGTAACACCTTACATTCCCATAATGGGCATATTGGGCTGTGATCTCATGTGCATCGATTTGTCCATCATCTGCCATGTCTCTGAAGCAAAGGCTCCATGACATCATTGCAGCAGGAGGTGACATCACGGTTCCAGTTCTCACTGCAGTCAATTCTGCATCAGGTGTGCTCCCTCCCTTACAGGCTGCCACTGGGGCAGCACTCTTTGTCCTCAATGAGGTCAAAGTTCATAGCGATTTACACCGAGTTTGGGATGGAAGTTGACAGTCTGGAATGTGTAGAAGTTCAAAGAGAGCAAGGAGGAATGGGAATGTTTCGGGAGATATGTTGTAGATGCAACAGCCCATGTGGTGGTGGCCCTCGACTCATATGATCTGTCTAGCAAAGGAGCGTGGATGGGGAACATTACAAAGCTTGACCAGTAAATAGCATTTGTTCTGTGTCCTCTGTCAGGGCACGGCCTAACCGGCTACTCTGACTCCCTATGCCGGAAGGGAGTTGCCGTAAGACAATCCGGAGTGATCCGAAGAATGCAGGTAATCTCGATTATCCGAATGAATAGCTATCTTTTCATGTCATCATTCTATCAGCTGTTCCTTATCTCGTTTGTAGCTGTGCTCTAGTGGATAGCGGTATCCATGTATATAAGCCCTATCTCCGCTGAAGGTGGCACTTCAGCGTTAACAACGACTAGGATTCTCGGGAACACCTTTATCATCGTGAACTGACATGCAGTCCCTGACATCCTCACCATTGTGTAACATGTGTGTTTGAAAGGGCATTGGAGTGCATTCAAACTGAAATCGGTAGGCTATGTGGAAAGATGGAAAGGCGGTCCGGCATCCACAATTTCCACTTCCTCTCTCATGTGAAGAATTCTGGCAGGATCAACGATTTGAAGAGGGATCTTGATGAGGCCTTGACATTATTCCAGGTAATTACACTTGATCCTTGTGGTAATGTTGCAACTCAGAACTCATTATCACAACTGCACAGCTGGGGATGAACTCGACAATAGGAAACTATCAAGATCGGTGAAATCATACAATCGAGAATTCTTCTGTTCTGGATAAGCTCCAATATCCTGCCGTTGCCCATCATGGTTCAACTCAGGCATGTTTGGAAGGCACCAGGACTGGCTTGATTGAGCACATTATGACCTGGTATTGTAACACGGAGAATAGTGAGAAGTGCATCCTACTTGTCAGAAACCCTGAAAGAGGGGGAATGTGAATCTGAATGCAGGTGGGGCTCAACTAGAGGGGTTCCGAGAGCTCCAGTAGCTTCTCCAGGAAGCCGAGTCTGCTGGGTTGTACAAGAGGCTCTAAGAAGGACACGGCCTCAGCAACTTGGAGGGAGCACTGTGCCTCCGTTACTTCTCAGTTAGTCCTTTCATTTCAGATGTCTGAGGTATCTTGTAGAAGGGCGTCAGGAATCACTCATAGGGGAACTTGGGGTATTCTTAGTCGAGATTAGAACTGGCATACAACGGGTTCTAATCTACACGTATATATAGAGGGAGGAGAAGGACTTTAGTCAAAGTCTGAGTGGTACCGACAGATACCGAAAGGTACTGAACGATATTCGTTGATGGGAAACTGAGATGTCAGGTCGAGGAAGGCAGAGTAGGAAGCCTGGGAATAAAAAAGAAATGGGTTATGGGTAATCCATTTCTTTCCGTCCTTATAGACGACTTGGAATCATCAACCTCGTGTATGTAGGGTGACCTAGTCGTGTAATGAGTATTGTCCGATAGCCTTGGAGCTTTTGACAGAAAGCTGGGACCTCACGGTGAATGGGAGTCTGCTATGACAGATACTTGGCACTCGTTATGTGAGCATACCATGCGCGGGTGTATAGGGTCACAGGCAAAGGGGATATCCAGAACTGGACCAGTCGAGGACAAAGGGCTAGCGGGTACTTGGCGCTCGAGGGAGCATACCGGTAGCGAGTGGTATAACAGCTCCTTGAGGGGGCTTCCTGAGATCTGGTTGACAGGTACTTGGCACCCAGATGGGCGTACCGGCAACGAGTGAGATTCCAGCTCCTTGAGGGAGCTACTTGAGGCTGGGTTGACAGATACTTGGCGCCCAGATGGGCGTACCGGCAATGGGATATGAGACCATTCGTTTGGTGAACGGTCTGTATTCATGTCAACGGGTACTTGGCGCTCGTATGAGCATACCAGTGACGGAGGGGTTAGTCGATCATAGGTCGAACAACACGTGGTGGGATCGACGGCTACTTGGCGCTCACGAGAGCATACCGATGATGAGGGGAACAGGCTTGTATCGAATACCACTCCATCCATAGAGTTAACCAGATGCTCACCGTAAGGTGAGACAGATGTGAGCCCAGTACCTGGGCAAGCGATGTGAGTCATAACAGAAGGCGTTCACGCATACCTGAGTTGAGTCACACGCAAACTTGACGATCCATGGCCAGAGTTGTCATCCTCGGTAGGGATGACCCATATAGATGGTGACCGAGACATATACAATCTTACACAGATATTACAGTGTTAGCACAAGGAGGTTTACAATTGTTGCACAGAAGGTGAGGGTGTGTTATTCATTAAGTTCCGTCTTTTTCGGCTGTAGCCGTACATGAACGTGACGCTAACTATTGAATAAGAAATGATCGCGAGAAATCTCGCGAAATTGAATAAATAATCCAGCCAGCACCAAAACCCAATAAGGGAAAGCTTAGCACGGAGTGAGTGTGTAAGAAGGGGGGAAGCGGGGAGAATGTAAGGAAGAGATGGGAGGATGTGGAGAAGGAGGACCCGCTGTGGTTGACGTTCAGTCGACACAGTCGCGAGAGATTCCATTCCTATAACAGGAAACTGTTAGACACTGGTCCGGAGTCGGCACCGAAGGTCGCCGATGCGGGCTGCTATTGGCCATGATGGCCGTGATGCCATAGACAAGGCCCGAGGGTAGGGCATTTGGCCTCAGCAACTCTAAAGGGAGTGCTGTGCCCCCTAGCTGTCTCTTGGCCCTCATTTCGGACTCACTGGGGTTGCCTTGTTGGGGTCAGGACTTAGGGGTCGTGGTCACATCGATATTAGAGCTAAGGTACAATAAAGTATCATACAGGATATATATAGGAGGAAGAATGAATGGAAGTGGACCCGGGCCGGAGGCCGAAGGGTCCGGAAGCAAACAAGAATAAGGAGCGGGGTTGGCCACATAGCGGCCGGCAATGACCGAGGGCCAAAACAAACAATAACAGATAAATAAAGGAAGGAGCATAGGGCCGCAATAGCGGCAATGGTATCGTAGCGGCGCTGGACTCGGAGTTGGGCCGGAGTTGGGCGCGGGGATGATAGCGGCCCTGTAGGGGCCAAGTGGGTGGGGTAGGGGAGTCGCGCTGGGCACGGTGCCGGAGGCGGACTCAAGGTGGGGAGGTTGGTGCAGCAGCGGGGGAGTCGGCCAAGTGTAGGGGAGCCTAGGGGCAAGCAGGGGAGTGAGCAGGGAGTCCTCAGGGAGGATAGGGCTGAGGTCGGGGCTCGCGCTCATGCTCGCATAGCGGTAACGGGCTCAGGTGGCATTGGGATGGGCAGCTAATGGGCCGGAATGCATGGCCATGACAGGAACAAGAAATGGGTAAGGGGGAATTAGCTGACTGAATGGAAAGAAGACAACAGTCGGGTTACAAATGGAAGGTGACTAATTTAAGATGACGAGAGCGGGGTCACCAGAGGATAAGGGTAGCCCTGAAGCCGGCATTACATGTCCAAAGAATATTGGGTGACTCCACTAAATGAAATGGGAGGGGGAATGGTTTAGAGGTATGGAACAAAATGTCGGAGGTCTGTTGGGAGGTCTGAGCGAATCCAGGGGTTCTGAATGTTCCGATTCGGGACCGAGCTTCCGGGATGGAGATGGCCAAGGGCAGGTGTGCTGAAGTCCAGGCTGGAGCTGAGACAGTTGGGGAGGAAGGTGTTGTTGGGAAGTGGGGAGGTATGGTGTAGGGGATGATGAGGTTGTTAGGATGGTGTAGTGAGGTGGGAGATTATGGGGTTGGGGTTCCGGGATATGACACTACTGATGACAGTGGTGGCCAGTGCCAGCAAGACATCTCTTGCTCACTTGATTGCAGAGGAGTCCAGCAAAGAAGGGATGTTGCTGCTCAGTTTCTTCTTCAAAGCTGGGGAGCAATCACACCCAGATCATTTGTTCAGTGGAATGGCCCGATCACTCGCAACTGTCAGGGGACAACACGTGAGTGGTCACCTGATACCCCTATTCGATATCGTATGTAGCTGCATCCGCATGTAGCCACATATCCCCTATCATATCGTATGTCATCACATTCCCACATGTCACCGCTGCCCCCATGTCCAGACGTCCCCTTTGTTCCTACTTCATCTCGTTGTCTGCCGTTAGGCGACTTAGCTTCCGGTTGTCTCTCTCTTGCATGTGACTGCTTATGTCATCACTTGTGTATATAAACTCTATGTTCACTGAAGGGTAGAACCTCAACAGTATCAACAACTAGGTTTTTGGGACTCTTCTTATCACAAACTAACACATGAACCCTGACAGCAACACACAACCCAGCGTATCGTTCCTACCTCATATCCACCATCCAGGAAGACCTGACTCTTGCAACTGCCTCTTTCCCAATGCAATTCGAGAAATTAGTGGTGGAGCCTTTCTGCCTGAAGGCATTGCCTTCTGATGGCCCTGGGATGGTCATTATTGATGCCTTGGATGAATGTGAGGAACAAGCTTTCAAATACCTTGCCAAAATACTTTGGGAACAGGTTCCCAAGTTGCCCCCAAGCATCAAATTCTTGGTCACCTCAAGGCAATTTGGCCTTCTTGGTCCTTACCTCTCGAACCATTCCATCATTGGTCATCTCAGTATTAATCTCTCAGATGATACCAACGTTCGAGACTGCAATATGTATGTCCATATGCATGCATCCCCATTCAAAAGACAAACTTAATGATGAGGATAAATTGGTCCAAGACAAGTGGGTGGGTTGTTCATTTGGATCAGTACTGTGTGATGCTATATGCAGAACACCCATCATCCTCCTATGAGGATGCTGGAGGAGCTTCTTGAGAACCGATCAAAGGCCCCCACTGAGGGTGAGATGGATAGGCTGTATGTGAGAGTTCTTGAGAAGTGTGACTGGGGGAATGTGTCAGGGACCGGTCCGGGGTCGAGAGTGTCCGGGTATATCGCCCGGTGCTGAGGGCCCGGTGGGGTGTGAAGCGGGCACGTACAGCAACAGGTCCGGCGCAGGTGGATGTCCCTGAAGTGGGAATGGTGTTAAATATCATTAGAAGGAAAACTACGCTACTTACCTGAAGTGGGAATGGTGAGAAGAAGACTGCTTCTCTGGTTCCCACCCCAGGTATGTTTATATACATGGTGCTCAGGTCACATGAGAGTTGCTACATCGTCCCCATGCACAGCCCCAGCCACCCGGGTATTCCCATGGGGGATCCCGAAGGGATCCGCTGCAGGCACGCGTGCTGGGTGTACCCGGGGGTCATCTGGAGCATCCGGGGCTGGGTGCGTCATGCATGGGTTGTGGGCGGGTTAGTAGTACATCGATCAAGGAAAGTCGTCTGTGTAAATAGAAATAGGAAGAATAGAGAATGAGACAGAGAAGAAATAAGAAGAGGGGGAAGTGGCGGGTGTGCCCTGACAAATGACGATTTTTTGCACAACTATCCGATTGTGATGGGGGCAATCCTAATTGCGCAACAGCCGCTATCAGTTGTGGCTTGGGATGCGATCCTGTTACCACACCTGAAGTCTCCTGTCCACTATACATTAGAAGAACCCTCTCCTCTCATCTCAGGAGTTGGGGATTCTCACGTACCAATTCATGTGTTACATCAATCCTTCTGTGATTTTCTCACAGAGCAAGTTGGTCCACAATCACCAACACTTCATTGGTTTGCAGTGGATGTGAGGAGGGAGAATGCCAAAGTGATTCTGCACTGTATCGATATCATGAATAAGGATCTTTCCTCTGTGGAAGGTTTGGGGTTGATGGAGGAGGGCTTGTCGGAAAAGGCTAAGCTGCCATCTATTGTGGAAGGGACACTGTCAGAACAGCTGTATTATGCATGTTGGTATATCATGCATCACCTCAATCAAGTTCAGGAGCCACTGGAAGTGTTCAATGGGTCATTTCACACATTCCTTGATCAACAAATGGTGCACTGGGCAGAAGTCTGTGTGAGGATGGGGGGTATATTAGTATATCATCATTCCCTGAATGGGCTAAGGTATGAATTATCAACAGCATTCATAACTCATTCTTACCCAGTCATGTTCCTTCAGTTGAGTGCAGATCAAACTTCAAAAGAAGTAATTCAAATGTTGGTCAAAGTATTTGGGAATGTGTGCAGTAATCTTGCATTTGAGTTGGCAAATGACTCTGTTGGGCTCTGTCGTTGCCTTGTGTCTGCAGACCCTGATTCCTACACTACTGATTTGGCTCAATCACTTGGAGATCTCAGTGCATCACTTGCCAACCTTGGACAGCATTCCGAGTCACTCTCTGTGAATGAAGAAAGTGTCGAACTCTTCCACAAGGTAGTTTCCATCAATCAGACTTCATGCACCCTGTCAGAGACCAGATTCGAGATGAGGGAGTGTCTCCATAGCGGAGGGCTTTGGCCTCAGCAACTTCTGCCAAGAGTGCTGTGCCTAGTGACACGTCCGTGCCCTAACTTACTGACTGGCAATCAGAACCGAAGGGGGGTAACTCTAGTTGATTTTATTACTGGGGTGTAACCTATGTACAAGTGGGATATATATATGGTTACAGCGAAGACGGGTCCGCAATTGGTGGAGCCGAACGGAGTGGAGCTAACGGGGTTTAAACATTAGCCGACTGAATATTACCGACGAGTCGGGTCGCAGGGTTAGTGGAAAGGCAGGCGATAACCCAGAAACGGAAAGGAGGGATAGGCCCGAAGGTGGGCTCTGCAGGGCAGGCGAGTGTATTGCCCAGCGGAGGCGGGGGTGCGCCAGTGGACGTCGGAGCTGTCCGGAAGTCTTTGGGGCTCCGTACTTAGGGAGGTGTAGGTAATAAATTGAAATGAGGGGTGGTGACCATCGAGGGGTACCGAGGGGATTGCGGAATGTGGGAGCTCCGAGGTTAGTGAGGAAGGAGCAGAGTTAGACTGGAGGGATCGGAGGGACCGGAAGTCGATGGCCGGGGATGGATATGACACACCCCTGATTTGGCTTGAGTGCTTGTGAGTCTTAGAATATTGCTCTCCAATCTTGGACAACATTCCAAGGTGCTGTCAGTGATCAAAGAGAGCATCACACTCTGGTGCAAGCTAGTTGCCATCCATCTGACCTCATACACCCCTGATTTTGCTTGAGCGCTCCTGCATCTTGAAACATCACTCACCAGCCTTGGACGGCATTCTGAGGTGCTCTCGGCAAGGAAGTCACATGAGACCTGAGACCTGGGGCCCAGGGCATCCAGCCACATGGAGCATCTGGCACAGTGTCACGGCCCTGCAAAGTCCCCGCCCTTCTACCACTTCTATCATCTGCACCCCCATTCTTGCGCCTGTTACTCACACCCATTAATCGTGCCGTTGTCCACCACTTAGCGGCACCTCCTTCTTTCTCCTGCCACCACTTGAGTTCCTCAGCCATTTGACCGATGCTGTTTTATTCTTATTCATTCGCTTAACTTACTAGTGGTCGATACTGTCGCCGCTGATCCACTCCTTATTGACATTTGGTTTATTCCTTTATTGACACTTGGTTATTCCTTTATTGACATTTGATTTATTTGTATATTGACATTCTGATCCACCACCATATTGGCACCTAGATTGTCAGCCTATTCATTCTGCCTCCCAACTTCGCTGTCCTCTGTTCCATTCATTTCTTCTGTTCCATTTCCCTGGTCCTCATCGCTCTTTTAGTTTTGTTGTGCTTACCATCCTGCTCCTGTCCCGCACTGGACCGACCGGCCCCTTCTCTGTTCTCCTTTCGTACTTATACTTGTAGTTTACTGTCGATGTACCTCAGTTCGAATATCAACTAGAAATCCCCCCAAAGTACTCTCATCTTAAGTTTGCCTCTAAGTTTCATCCCTGCCTGAGTAACGTCGCCGCAAGGTCCTTCTGCTACCCTGAAATATGGGACAGCCTAGAACGCGTGGTGCAATGCTCCAGCTGAGTCATAGCCAAAGTCCCATCTCCCAAGATGCCTTGCAACGGAGTTGCACATTAGCTAAGTGAACACTCACGCCGCCGCACTCCGCTCCGCTTCCTGCGATCACCTTGAATACAGTTTCTGACACACAGGGCATGTGTGGGAAGTGCAATGGCACATGTGGGTGCAGGTGTGGGTGCAAGTGTGGGTGTGGATGCAGGTATGGGCTAGGTCAGGGTGTATGCCCTGACAGTTTTCCCATGTTAGCTAGACAGAGTTAACGGTTTGTTGATGCAAGGGCAATGAGTTTGGGTGCTTAAGCACCACATTTAGGGGGAGTTCTATGGTGCCATTGGAGTTTCCATTCAAATCCTGATTTTGGTAGTGGGTGACTCCACCCCAGATCACTTCCATCAAAATCGAAACCAGCAGATTTTTTTTTTGCACTTTGCTGTAATGCATCTAGAACTCCATAGCAACCAAGCCAAATCTGGAGTGTGTAGATTTCCCACTAACCACTATCATGCACCAGTTCCTCATCAGCAAATGGTCCATGTTCAGTTTGGCCACTTCTGTTGGATATGTCCACCAGAAGTGGCCAAACTGGCCAAACTGGCCAAAGTGCCCAAAGTAAAATAAACTAGGTCCCTCCAATTCAATTTCAGGGCCAAACTTAATTGTTTTGAGTGGTACAACTGTGGGAATTGTGCTTGGAGCCATTGAGTTCAGCCCTGAAATTGAATTGGAGGGACCTAGTTTATTTTACTTTGGGCACTTTGGCCAGTTTGGCCAGTTTGGCCACTTCTGGTGGACATATCCAACAGAAGTGGCCAAACTGAACATGGACCATTTGCTGATGCTTTCGATCGCTGAACTGCCCAAGTTCTTGAAGTGATACAAAAAAATAAGCGCCCCAGCCAGATCTGGGGCCTATGGACAAAAGCCAGCTGTGTTCTGTTGCCAGCAGTGGAGTTGGCCGAATTCATTGCACAGCCTCAGAGTCAATTTTGGGCGGCCACAGAGTAGAGCAACTACTTAGTGCATGTTACACACGAAGCCGTTTGAATGAGATACCGCGTCTCATTCAAATGCATCTCATTCCGAATTTGCTCTGTTATGATCAGCCTGAAGAGTATAACTGTACAAGACAAACGTGGAGACTAGTGATGTTGTCGCTGGTGCACAAGAATGAGATATCGTAAGGTCCAAAAATTTGTGTTTTATAGTCAGGCACTATGAATGCGCACTGACTTTAGCAACAACTGACCTGAAAAGGTAAATCTTAGCGCCGCAAGACTCAAGACCAAAAACGTGAGTTGGCCTCAGCGTACGCTTGAATCCCAAGAAATCTAATAAAGAGTCTCATGGGATCTCACTTCGCTTCATTGATTCATCTGCTTGCCAAAAGAATCAGCTTTGTTCCTCGCTCAAAAGCAGTTCCGGTCTACTGAACTTGTTACTTGCACGTTTTATTGCCATTGGATCGGGAGAGTTGGGACTCGTTTATCAGACACACTCCTTACAATGAGGCTGCCTCAACCAATTGTTACCCGTGTAGTGTCCGAGAATGGGCTGAATCTAATTGAATCTGATTTTGGACTCCTTATAAGGCTTCGTTCGGTATGAAGAAACAGGTAACTTTCGAATTAAAAAACGGGCAAAAGAAACCTGTTTCTTCCAGTTTTTCAATTCAATATTTACCTGTTTCTTTTTTCTACCTAAAGAAACATGCAATTTGTGTATTAAGAAACAGACCAAAGAAACCTGTTTCTTCATACCGAACGAAGCCTTAAGAACGTTCTTCAATCCGGACGCTTCTCCCCGTATTCGGCGAGGCACTGTGCTCTGGCTGTTGCTGCCGGTCCTTTATTTCCCCCTCCTGACCTCCATAACCTTTTCTCTACTCGCTGGGTTCATCTTAGTTCATCACTGTGCCTGATAGAGGTGGAGATTGACACAGCGATGGCAAGGCTCTTATCGTTTCCCTGGGCGCAAAGTGCCCTTCTTTTCTTGTTCTGTGCTCGGATTAGTTTGGCGTGTATTATGAACGTCCCGATGAAGATTACGAGTGGAGTCCCATTCCAAGTGTCCTGGGCGGCCTGTGAGGTGGGCTCTATGTATTGATCCCAGCAGGGTCGAGTTCGACTGACCCAATTTTTCCAAACCATATGTACTTTGTATGGGCACGTTGCTGCCTCTCGAACTGGTGCCGGACAACACGACTATGCTCTTTGGTGCAGACACCCGTCACGGTCAAGGTTTGGGATCAAAATAACAATCTCTTGAAGAATGCTATAGTCTCCGGGTCCAGTTTCACATAGTACGCCGATCAGACCCGTTGCCTTTCCGCCCAGTGGCCGCAACCAAACGCCCTACTCACATTGCTTCGCATCCCACTGCGCAGCACTGTCACTACTAGTGCAGTGTCCTTCTCTGTGACAGATGCAACTGGGCTCGAAGTGACAACTATCCCACTTGTAGTCAACGTTCGTAAGCTACGCTCCTTCCTGTTTGCCACGCACTCCCAACCGTTGTCTCAAACCTTTATGCATGTACAATAGCCGAATCCACTAACTTCGCACTCGGTTAGCTCGGTTAGCATCTAAACTTTGGCGAAGAGTCCGATGGAGTTTACATCGTTAGACTTTCTTTTCGCTTTCAATAGTCTGTGAGCAGTCATACGACGTCATCGGATGACACAACGACGACGGCGAGCACAAGCTCATCGCCTACATCCACAAACTCTCTTCCTTCCAGCACTGGCTCTTCAACCACCTCCTATGATTTCTCCACTCCCTTCCTTCTCCCCCACTCCCATCCTCGGCCTCCTCCTATTTCCATAGGACTTATAGTGGTTGCTGCTGCCGTGGGGCTTCTTGGCCTACTCCTGGTGGTAATCCTCATTGTTCTTCTTATTAATTCGTGGCTTACATGTCGGGAGCCGAGAGAGGGACCTAAATATGACAAGGTGAAAGGGGATGAGGAGCAAGCGCCGGGGAAGTGCGAGAGGAAGCGCGAGAAGAAGGGCAAGAGGGAACGCAAGAGGGAGGGCTATATGGAGAGCAAGAAGGAACGCAAGAGGGGGGGCGGGAGGGCAAGAGGGAACGCAGGAGGGAACGCAGGAGGGAACGCAGGAGGGAATGCAAGAGGGGCGTGGGAGGGAGGAGCACGTAGATTAACAGAGGGATAAGAAATGATGTAGATGTGTGTTGGAGGGGAGGGAATGCTTATTCATATGTTTGCTTGGGCGATCCAATGTTTACCTACTTCCGGGGATTGGTATTATGTTTTTTCTATCTTTCTTAGCTACAACTATAGCATGTACAAACGAATTACGAAGAAGCAATTGTCAAATAAAATGCTTTGATGAGATCACAGTTCAAACCAACTTGCTGTATTTTCTACGAAGCCGTGGAGGGCGATTAATTTGGCCCGTATAAGTAATTGTGGACGTGTGGCTGATCAAGGTGTGCAAAGTTGGTCAAGTGCTAGTCAGATCCTGCTGGAGCCCCTTTGTGTTGAGGATATCTATTTATTTAAGGTGCACATTGACACGCACGCTGTAGTCGCAATGGTCTTATCAATATGAAAATAGTACCTGTTAATTCTTCCCCCAAGGATCAACAATAGCTCCACAATAAAGAAGAAGACGCTTACGTTGAATATTTGATACCACGCATCTCTTCTATTGTCACTGAGGGTGGATCATAACTGGACTCTCGATCGCACGGGAACGTAGCTGCTATCGCTGCAAGTTGTGGCGCAAAATGAACGTGTTTGCCATTCAAATCCCTTCATCTAACTTTTTACCAACTTTCATATCCCGATCATACTATGTACCGGCACGATTCTACAAACAATCCGCGCATTACATAGGTGTGCCGTCTCCAACTGCGTTTTCGCTAGCTGTCACAGCTCTCCCGGCCAAACGAACCGACATCAAAGATTTCAATGAAGCCACAAGGGATTTCGATTCCTGGCTTGTATCAGCGATGTGCCTGAGTGACCAAGTCCCAGAAGCGCCTGGATGTATCCGAGAACGAGGGTAATGTTGTCGATGCAACATGCGGCAGAAGGACATCCCAGATATATGTTCGGGTCTTGTTCCACGTTGTGCACTGGGCGTGCCAATCGTGATGTACAAGCACGGGTTTTCCTGCCCGCTACGCTGTATGTTTGCTTCGAGCTATTTATTAGATTTCTTGGGATTCAGTACGCTGAGGCCAACTCACGTTGTTGGCGTTGTTGGTGTTGAGTCTTGCGGCGCTAATATTTACCTTTTTGGGTCAGTTGTTGCTCAAGTCAGTGCGCATTCATAGCGCCTGACTATAAAACACGAATTTTTGGACCTTACGACTTTTCCTCAGTTCACGCATAGCGGACTGGAGCGACAACATCGATAGTTTCCACATTCGTCTTATACTATTCTCAATCTCCTGTATGCTTCTCTGGTCGAGCGACTTGCCCTTTGTCGCTTATCTGGGCTTTGTTCTCGGCAGTGTCATGCCATACTAATTTACTTCATCCTTGAGGTAATCTCTTGGTCCCCGGTCGACCCTATCAATACGATCGAAGTGTATGTGATGAATGGCAGGGGAGATTTTCCCAAGGCTATTAGCGATCTCAACGCAAATGGCGAACTTGGAGTCGAGTTAAGGTAGACGACTGGTTCTTATAAAAAAAGCACTTACCACGACTATGATGCCCACGGCAATCACTCCGTTTGAGAAGCGGGACACGACATAGATATAGAACCCTACGATGAATAAGTAAAACCCACTGAGCAAAGAGAGAGTAGGAGAGGTCAGAAGATGAATAAATTCACACTACCCAGGCTATATCACTTACCAAAGGACCAGGGTGAAGCAGCGGCTAAATGAGAAGGCTTTGATATAGTCGAACCCATTTGGTTTAGCTGCGACTGTAGCTTCGACCGGGAAAGGGACATCAACACGGACATCACCCGTAAGGTATAAGTATCGATGTATGACCAGTCGAAGTGCGTCGCGGTGCGCAAAGCTGGTAAGATGATGTTCAGATCCTGCTGTATTAGCTACATTCTTGAGGACATGCACCTACGTCAGCCAGTGTGCACGCCGGCAAGCTGTAAGCAAGACGATATACTATCAATCACTAGACCGGACGCCGAGTTAGAGGGATAATACCGTTTAGGCATGCCACTGTAGATAACAGCACAGCAGCCATTATTGGTCCATTGAACAGGCTGTAGATGGCAGAATTTTTTCTATCATCAGCGAGCGTGATCGCTAATACTTGAGCCTCAACTGCAGTGAGGAGCGTCGCTATTAGCGCCACTGTGTTACTATCTGGGACAGATATAAACAACAAAAGATCGTTTGTAACGCAACCACTAACCGTCGTATAGTCTCCTCCACACCTCTTCAAACCTGTCATCGATAATCTCCCTGATCGAGCGAGGAGGAGAGATGGGGTTCGATTCATCAATGATTGACGTTTGAGACATTCAAGTGAGGGAAAGGGAATACGGTTGGCATTGGCTGGAGAGTTCATATAGGCCATTCCGTTAATCCCGGGTGTATACCGTGTGTCCAGTGTTCGAGTGATTACTTAAACACACCTGAAGCACATCAGAGTTACTATAATATGGATGTACATAAATTAAACTGCTCGCGTTGCTTCGCCCAACTTTAAAACTTCATTCGGTATGAAGAAACAGGTTTCTTTTGCCTGTTTCTTAATTCAAAAGTTACCTGTTTCCCCCTGAGGAAAAGATGAGAGAGAAACCGGTAACTTTGAATTAAGAAACAGGCAAAAGAAACCTGTTTCTTCATACCGAACGAAACCATAGTATTATGATAGGTATAATACTAATAGCATGCAACTTTTTTAATTCTGTTACGTGGCCGAAGTTTCCATCAGAACGATGGGGAAAACAGAAGACATGAAATGGCAGATAGAAACCTATGGATACTCAAATCCAGGGACTGCAAGAACCCGAGAGTTAAAGTTGCACCACTCAGTGCGGTGGCTCGGTTGGGATGGCAGTAGACTCTGGAGATATAATTGTCGGTGTAAACACATGTAAATACACATCGACATGGAATTACCTGCGACAGCAGAGCAGCCGGCATTGTCCTGTTTGGAGGGAATGCATGTGGTCACGTGATATATGAGTGATGGGGTATGAATGTGGCTAATCAGGTTTGACTGAGGTCGTAGCGGGAGACGGCCCAGAGTGTATTGGCAGCAAGCGCGGCAAGACACGCGTGATCCGATCCGCTACTAGTACAAGGGAAGCCAAACAATAAAAACAAGCGACAGCAAATGAGAAAGTTCACAGAAATAACAAGACATGCGTGATCCACTACAAGTACCAGGGAATTCCAAGCAATAACAAGAAACCATGCAATGAAATAAACAGAAACTGTTGGAATAACCATCAGGGATGGAGTAACCTCCCTGGCATAAAGGGTGAGTAGTGTATGGATGCATGCTAGAGGTCCTGGGTTCAATACCAGGCTTGTCCATTTTATGTCATTCATCCAGTCACCTGGTTTACATTAGTTGAATTCATGACATAAGTCTATAGTGCTAGCAACATGAATTTCTTCATGGTGGATAAGCCACGGTACATCAATTTGGAGGCTAACACCCCAAATTGAGGGCGAGTGTTGGAATAACCTGTTGGAGGAAGCACCCTCAGCGCATGTATTTACACATGTTTATATTACTATATAGAATCTTAGAGTTTACTGCCATGTTGTCCAACTGCCATTGACCTGGTATCTTCTACAGGTTATGAGCCCAGGTGGCTTGCCTGGACACCTGAGGTATTAAGGAAATCCGCCTAACTCTCATGGTACAAGCCCTGGTTTTGTGGCTGTTGGTGAAAGTCCTCAAGTTTGAGGCAAGAATTTGCGATAAGTCCCGCTGGGCACGCGCTTATTGAGAAAGTCCTGCTGGGCACACATTAATCAAGAAAGTCCTCAGGCTTGAGGCAGGAACCTGCGATAAGTCCTGCTGGGCCCACATCGATTTTGGAAAGTCCTATTTATTAGGCACCGGTAATCTCAAAGCCCATGGGACATGGCACTTTATTGCTGTAATGTCAGGGGACCCCGGGTCCCCATGACCCCTCTCTATGGCCCACAGGCTAACCTGTAACAGCAGCCCATCTCAGGGCATAACACTACTGTGGGTAAGAAAGTGAGAAGAGGGTTAACTTCTCACTTTCCCACAGTGGCCCAATATGGCGAAAACTTCCGGGGATACCCGGAAGTCACATGAAGAGTGGGAACCGGGCCCGGAGCATGTGGCACATGGAGCATGCGGGGCAGAGCACACAAGTGGGTGCAGGTCCGGGTCCAGATGCGGGTCCGGGTCCGGGCCAGTCAGGGTGTGTGCCCTGACATGTAAGCCCTTAGACAGGCATGCAATGTTTACCTCACATTTTCCTCTCACCCCCTCCTTGCCATGTCATCACCTCTCTTTAATTTTTCTCACACCTCATCGCACCACTGTTATTCAGAGGGTGAAAATTTTACACTCCTTCCTCATTCAATCATCATGCCAGCCACCACCCCATTCGACAAACTAAGTGATGACAATTATACAGCCTGGTCCCAGTACATGAAGGCTGACTTAGTCCAGAAGAAACTCTGGGGCTATGTTTCTGGAGATTGTCAGAGTCTGGAATATTGTTGGAGTTGGGCAGACTGTCAGAGTCGGAACACTGTCAGAAGGTGGATAGAAGACGGATTGGGTTCTGTCTGAGTTGAGGTCGGAGGTGATGCAGAGGTCTGTTGGAGCGTGCACATGGATATGCAGGCAGAAATATGCCGCACATCTGGAAGCGCTGTTCAAGGCTAGCAGAGTGGGATCGCAGCCTCAGCGACTCAGGTGGAGCGCTGTGCCCCAAGCTTGATGTTTGGGGAAGATCCCGTATTTACAGATTGGCACTTACAGCAGACTTCAAACAAGACTTGTGGGCAGAGTGGACCTGTAGGAGGAGCACGGACTCAGAGGGGGGGAAGCCCCCTTTGCAGAAGGAGGGACTCAGACCAGACAGGGGGGGTACTCTAGTTGATTTCAGACTGAGGTCCCCAAAAGTATTTACAAGGTATAAGTAGGTAAGAGAAATCAAAAGAGGGACCAGTCGGTCTGGTGCGGAAATAAGCGGAAATGAGCGGGGACTTGTCAAACTAAACCAAGGACGAGAACCCAGGAAATGGGAGGCAAGGAATGAATAAAGTCAAAGTGGATCAAGTACCAATATTGACAGATTAAATGAATGAGTAGGAAAGTGCAATAGCACACGGATCAAGTGCCAATATTGGCAAGTTAAGCAAATAAAATGGGTGAACATAATAGGCACTCGGCAAGGAATGAATGGTATGTTGCCAAGTGACAAAAATGGCCAGAGGACAAAAGTGGAGGTCAGTGCGCAGTGCCGATACAAGTCCGCAAATAAGCGGGGTCGGTGCAGTGCCAACACAAGTCTGTGAACAGAGGTTGATCTGTCAGTACTGTCACACAAGGACAGCATGAAGGCCAACAGAGGTACAGAGGGGAGTGGGAGTGTTGACCTGACCAGAGGTGTCAAGGGCAACCAGAAGTGGGCAGAGGGTGCGGAATGCACGGAAGCGGTGCATGGCTGTGACCACACAGTGGGAAGCAATGAGTGTGGTTCAGATGGAGACAAGGCTGGCATAGGAACTGGAGGGACTGAATGCCAGGAGCACCAAGGGCTCGGGAACTGGAGGTAAGGCCGGAATGCTGGCAGGGTCTAGGTTCTGATTGTTGGCCAAGTCTCATGCAATAAGGCAGGGGGCCAGACATCGGGTTGGGGGCTGGTTAGGATGGGTTTCGGGTCGGTGGTTTTGCCTATCAGCATTGGTTTGCCGCTGACGGAGCCCCAGGATTTGTCGGTCATGACAGAGATATACCCTGACCACTTGGAAGTGCACATCACAGGACTGTTCAGGCCTGGCAAGAAAAGCACGATATTGCTGCAGCTGAGATTCTACTCAATGTCTCCCCAAAATATATCGGTCATTGTGATGACACTGATGTGCCTGGAACCTGGAACAAACTCAGAACCATATTCCGCACAGAGGGCAGTAGCTCTATTGCTGCACTCCATTATCAATTCAATTCTATGTGTATGTGCTACAATGGGACCACAATGCAAGAATGGATTACCAAAGTCGAAGATGCTGTGCGTCATCTTGAAGATGTCCCCCATGATCCCAATTGATATCATCAACATCCTAATTCGCAATCTCCCAGAATCATACTCCCCCCTGATCATCGTTGTTGATACTCTGTTGGATGACCCCCTCCAACCCGTGGACTCTACAACCATTCAAGATGTCATCAGGCGACTTCTAAATGAGGAAATTCGCCTTGCTAACACTACACATGATGGAGAACCCTGGGCTGCCAAAGTGTCAGGGCACACCCGCCTGACCCGGCTCCACCCGGCCCAACCTGACCCGGTACCCTGCTGGTCCACCCTTCCTTACCTCCTCCCCCTTTCCCTTCTTCCCCCCTCTGTCAGGGCACGCTGCCGCCGCCGCTGCCACCACCGCCACCTCCTTTTCCTTTTGTCTCATCCCCTCATTCTCTCTTCTTTCCTTCTTCTCTTTTTCTATCTTTATACAGACAACCTCTCTTTCTTTCCTACCCTTGTAGCATGGATGCGTCCGACGCTGAGCACCCTGTAGGGGCACCGCAACGCCGGATGCGCCGCGCACTTCTACTTGTACTCCCCCTCCAACACTCAGGATCGACCGCGGAACCACCCATGGTAACCCGGCTTCGTCCGAGGGTGACGTGGCAACCCCACGTGACCCATTCACACATGTATATAAACTAAGCCGAAGCAGGACCGAAGAAGTAACCTTCTTCTCATTTCCCGCTTCAGGCAAGTACCCTAATTTAGTCTGGCTTCCCACCCTAATAACAATACATTTCCCGCTTCAGCCTAAGAAGCCACACAGGGACATAAGCCCGAGTAAGGGCTATCCACTATACGGTCTCACCGCCCCGCCGCCGTCCGGGCCGCTAGCGCCGAGCGTTACGCCGCTACCTCTGCCTTCCTCGAGCCGTCCCTGACAGCAGAAGAAGGTTTCAACCTAATCTCCCCCACCTCCTCCAGCATGGTGACCGAAGAGCAGTACCAGGACCTGCTGACTAGGTTCCAGGAACTGCAGGCCATCCTTGAAAGCCACGTCCAGAACCCACCGGCTCTGCCCGTGCCCGCACCCACACCTACGCTTAAGCCCAAAGCACCCAAGGTTGCCCCCCCCACCGCCTTTGCCGGAGCGAGCGAGGACCTCGACCGCTTCAAAGCGGAATGCAGAATCTACTTCCATGTCCACGCCATGGAGTTCCCCGACACCCTATCCCAAATCCTTTTCGTCCTGTCATACATGAAAGGAGGAGCTGCAGGAGCATGGGCAACACAGCGCATGATCACGCTGTTGACGGCGGGATCCCCCGCGACCACCATGGACGAGTTCATGGCAGAGCTGGATGCCATGTTTCAAGACCCCAACTGGGAAGCCATCGCCTGGCAGAAGCTCGCCGCTTTATGGCAAGGCACTGACTCCGTGGATAAAATCATCCAGGAGTTCGAAATCCACGGTCCCGCTTCATGGCTAGGCGACGTAGGGC